ATGTGGTATGGTGTGGTATGTGGTGTGGTCTAGTGTGGTGTGGTGTGTGGTGTGGTATGGTAGTGTGGTGTGGTGTGTGGTGTGTGGTGTGGTGTGGTGGTGTGGTGTGGTGTGTGGTGTGTAGTGTGGTGTGGTATTGTGTGGTATGGTGTGCTGTGGTGTGGTGTGTGGTGTGGTGTGGTGTGGTGTGTGGTGTGGGGTGGGGTGGGGTGGGGTAGGGTGTGGTGTGGGGTGTGGTGTGGGGTGTGGTGTGGTGTGGGGTGGTGTGGTGTGGTGTGGTGAGTTGTGGTTTGGTTTCCTGACTTGTCTATATCATCTCTCCCCATCCCAGCAGTCTGGCTTTAAATCAGTGGTTCCGAATCAAAAACACACCTTCTTTGTTTGCCATTAGGTAAAAAATGCTTTTTTTTATTATATAAGGCAAGTTTCAACAAAAATGACCTTCCTAAGCAAAAGAAGTTACCACCCTCCTTACTTTCCAAGTTCTCAGCTAACACTTCTCTTTAAATGAGTTGGGAATGAATTGTCCAAAATAGAAACCAGTGCTCTAAGAGGACAGCACTTCAAACAAAACTAAACAGTGCTAGAAAAATAAGTCAGAAATGGAGGTCATTAAAACATTTCAGAGGACAGCTGAGGTGAATTTATAGAAGATTTTTTTTAATTTGCATGCCTGACTGATTTATAATTTGCATACCTGCTTGAATTACAATTGTGCATTTACATAAAAACAGAGTTGTTTATTCATGTCCCTGGATGAGTAACCCATTAGCTATGAAGAAAGTGGCACTTACTATATTTTCACTTATGATCTCCCAGAAAGACATTTTAGCTGGGAACTTGGGATCAAACTATTCTTGTGATTTTTCTTAATCTTACTTCATTCTTCACAATCTAAATAGAGGAGATTCATCAATACCGGTGTACTAGTGAAAATTGGAGGCCGTGAGTTACATAGAACTGCAATTATCACTTCAAAAATGTGCCAAACTGTCTTCATATGAATGTTTATCAACTTCTCCCTATTTGAAAAAGCGCACTTGATCACAGAAATACCTATAGATGAATATCCATCTAATAGCTAGGCAGAACATCTCTACTATTTAAAGATGCCAGTATGACTGCAGAAGGCGTCTTGTCTCATTTGATAGCTGTGTGTTACTCTCAATGTTTCTGAGATTCTCAAACTGCAGTACTAGAATTTCTTTACTATTGAAAACCAAAGTAGCAAAAAAAATATCAAAAAGTAATCCAGGGGCAGGACAGATTATATAAATTAAAAGGCCCATCCAAAATGAAAAAGTGCAGTCTTTTAAAACAGAAAATTATCCCTCTTTTTTAGCAGAGAGGTTTCATGTACCCTCTTGACCTGCCATGTTGTTCACCCCCAGGCAGCCCAGCACCTGAGGCAGAACATAGAACCTGGCCCTAACAGCAAATGTTTCAGATGACTTTCATGATAAATTATTTGAGCGAACACTTAGGAAAACGGTGTTTCTGAGAATTCTGTTTGAAAAGACCACTGTCAGATCATACACATCAAAAGTCCTAAGTCCAAAATCACTGCCTTTAAAATGAAGCTTGCATGACTTGGGCTATCTGTGAGCTTCCGGTCTAAGCTTAGAACCCTTGACAGTCACTCTTGCTTCCCGTACATTCCACGTTCTCATCTGCTAGGGATATGCCTGCCAGAGTCTCTGCCACACCCATGCTCTATCATCCCAGGGATTTCGTTTGAACCTGAGCCAATTGTGACTATCAACCATGACATTTCATCTTCCAACTCAGCCCCTTTGAGTGAGCTCATTTCCCTGCAATGCTAACCTTTCTCCCTCTTCATCTAGCTAAGCCATCTCTTCTTCCTGGATTTACTTCAGGCTATGGTCTTTATGTGAAAAATAAAAAAAGATGATGAAAGGAAGGAGTGATCAGATCTTAAAATTCATTATTGCATACTTCCATTACAATCTTCATAGAACTGAAGAATGGGGGGGGGGGCAGTCATTCTGAGAGGAAGCTGCTGAAACTTGAGAGGTTCAAAGAAGTTTGCTAGAGTGGTACAGCAAGTAGGTGACAGGTGGGGATGCTAAATCAGTTCTAACTGACTCCAAATCTATGCTGCAAATCTTTAAATGTAGGGTTGTTTGAGCACAGTGCTTCTCAACCTGTGGGTTGCACCCCCTTTGGGGTTACATATCGGATATCCTATATATCAATTAATTACAATATGAATCATAACAGTAGAAAAATATGCTTATAAAGTGGCAATGAAATAATTTTATGGATGGGGGTCACCACAACATGAGGAACTGTATTAAAGACCAGTAAGAAGCATAGGAGGCATTAGAACATATCACAGCATTAGGAGGGTTGAGAACCATTGCTTCAGTGTCCCTCCCCCAGGACTTCTAGAAGCTCATGTATATTATGGGACAGCAAGTCATGCTTTCCAATTTTATTCTCTTTTAGGAATCCTTCACTTGAGCACAGTACTTAAAGACAAGCAGTGTCTTTTCACTTTTCCAGCCTAAAAATTGAGCACAAGTTTTAGTATGCCCTGGACATTGTGGATCAATTAGTAAGTAGGTGAATGAAAAAATTGATGACATCTTCTAATTGGACAGACTCCCAGGATATAACAATAACTGAAAGAGAAAAGGATCTTCATACATTACTCATAGACACACTGGGAAGACAGATAAACACACAACAAATGTGACTAAGGGCTGATGGTGATCTATCAGAGTTTTTGAAAGCATCCTGAGACGTTTTCTGGAGATAGGACATACTGTACAGAATATGTTAAGTGGGAAAAGGACTTCGTAAATCACTTCTTCTAAAGGTACCAATGAGAGCAACATGAACCTAAAATGCGAAATAACTGAAAAGATTCCATTTCTGGGACATAGGCTTGAAAGGAAGCCACAAGAAGTAAGGCAGAAAAGAGGACAAGAGCCAAACCAGTAAGAACCTTGCAGGACAACGGGAAGAAATCTGAAAGCTATGAAGCCCAAGAGACTTGGAAAGTCAGATTTCCATATGAAGAAAGTCACTGTTGCTGCAGTGGGTGGGGTGGAATAAAAATGGAACTTTAGCCAGGATATCAGGAAGACAGACAAAGGGCTACTAAAGGAACTCACCTAACATATTAGTTCCCAAGGCCAGAATGCTGCTCACAAGAAGGAAAGATTGTAGAGATGATTGAAATATGAAGATAAATAATATAAGAGAAAGATACAAGCAGTGTACAGTTCATACAAAAACACACAAAACACACAAAAAAAATTCTAAACCAATCTGGATCACTAGTAGAAGGCATGGTTATCATAAAAGGAAGGATTCACTAACCTGTTTGTAAGGGGCATCGTTGAGGTAGATTTCAGTGTCTCCAATTGATATCAAAACACTTTTAGAACAAACAATGTCATTGTCAAAGCATTTCTTGTTCTGGGAGATCACAGATATATCAGAATCATCTGTACTCTGAAATAGATGAAGAACATGTTATTGTCACAATATGCATATTATATATAAATTCTAGTTATTTTTATTAACAAATTTAAGGTTTATAATGACTTAAGGTATAACTGAAAAGGGATGTTCTTCTAGAGTAAAAATAAAAATTATATTTAGCTAAAAGTAAGAAAATATTCTATTGAAATACCACAGTCTTTAAATAACTTCCCCTAATATTCTTTTTCAAATTTTGTTCTAGCAAAGCTTTTTAGATCCATTTCATTATCATAGCTCTACTCGATAACCATTATAGTTCTCTTTATCTATCTATCTATCTATCTATCTATCTATCTATCTATCTGTCTGTCTGTCTGTCTGTCTGTCTATCTATCTACCTATCTATCTACCTATCTATCTACCTATCTATTTATCATATAATGTAACATTATATTATATATTATAGCTATATAAGTAACTTAAATTTTTACCTATTTATCATTACTTATAAATAATACATATTTTCATTTTTAGAAAATAATATATTTTCCTTTATTTTAGGGATTTTTGGACTGCTTACTACCTCCAAGGAAGAACTGAAGAGGATACAAACTTGTACCATGAACGAGCAGACGAAATAGTACATTTATTTGAGGGTTTGCATTGAACTTCATGATGTCTCATCTAATTCTGTCAACATTTGAAACTGATTTTTATTGAAAAACAGAAAGTTGTATCATTTAAGAAAGTCAGCTTCCTGGAAGAAAACTTTTTAAACATTGAAGTTATTGTAGGTCAAAAACTCAAAACATGCTGATACAGACATGGGTCTGTCCATCAAAGAGGCAGCTATATAGTTGGGATACGATCTCATATTCTGACTCTCCCAGCTCACATTCTCTCATACCTGTCCACTTAGCATCATTGTGCATGTGCTCATAGCCAGTCCTCCATGTACTCGCCAAGTAACAGTGAGATTACAGCACTCCCTTCCCCAAACACAGTTCAATTGTAGCAGCGTGGAAACCCTATATGTGACATGGCCCTGATGAGGATAGTACAGGGCTCTAGCAAGTAGTCAAGATGCACACGTACACAAGGGATATCTAAAGTTTGGACATCAGTAGTTCTTAGAACAAGCCTTCCAATCAGCTGCCTTGTTAGAGTGTCCAGAGAGATTCACGTGTGGATCTGTTCCAGTATGTGTATTAAACATTCCTTCCCTACCACACTCAAATGTCCTGTGTACAACAGGGACAATATTCAGATGAATCTCTTCTTGATATGTGCTTATGTATCAGAGTTCAGCCTACAGCCATCTTCTCAAGCAATAAGGGCCATTGACTTTAAGCAATGACATATGCCACCATTTGGGCAGTGACAGTATGCTGTTGTTAACTGTCTAGGCCAGGATTAGTCATCAGAGTTCTGCCTGGCTTTCCTGTGACTGGTTATGCATGCTCTGAGAGACATGGACTTAAGTTTATCTCCTTAAGTTTATCACCTACCGGTTTTAGATATTTGTAATAGTTTTTGTCTGCTGCAAGAAGCTTCTTTGATGAGAAACAAGAGCTATACTTATTGGTAGGTGTAAGACTAAGTATTGGTAATACGGTGAAAATTATCCTGGTTTAAGAACGTGCCAGTAGCAGTATCTCAGAAAATTGAACATAGTGTTACCTGAGGACCCAGCTATACCACTCCTGGGCATATACCCAAAAGATGTTTCAACATACAAGAGGGACACATGCTCCACCATGTTCATAGCAGCCTTATTTATAATAGCCAGAAGTTGGAAAGAACCCAGATGCCCTTCAACAGAAGAATGGATGCAGAAAATGTGGTACATTTATACAATGGAGTACTACTCAGCTATTAAAAACAGCTTAGGGATGATCCCCTAGCAGTTGAGAGAGAATATCGAGACCACACTGTGCCCCTTTATTTATGATCTCATCGACTTCCCATGAATGCCGCTGCCATGGTGATGTCCTGGCTATGAGTAGCATCTCTGCGATGACACTGACCTAGATACACAATCAAGGATGTCGTGAGAAACTGAAGTGACGCTTCCATGGGCTTTCTGCTTCCATAAGTAAAAAGTATCTGCTTCTAGTTGCTTCTTTTATACTTGCAACCTAAGAGGGCTTCTTTGGCTTTCCAGCTTCACAGTTTAAAATTTTATTGTGCACATACTGTATTTATATCATTTCCCTGTCTTTATCTTTTCTCCAATGATCCCTTCACCTCTACAATACACTCTCCCACCAAGCTTACTGCCCTTTTACATAACTATTATTGATGTGTGTGTGTGTGTGTGTGTGTGTGTGTGTGTGTGTGTGTGGTGTTGACATGTCAATTGGTAGTATCATTATTCAGGTCTTGTTTAGATGATCAAATAGTTGAGATGCTGTGGATGCAGCATCCCTGCCATATATAAAAGACACAGTCTACCAGCACACATTCTGGCCCCTTGGCTCTTTCAATTGTTTCTTCCTCTCTTCCATGATGTTCCTTGAATCTTGGATACAGCAATGGGGTTGTGGATGTATCATTTGGGGCCAGGCACCCCATGGTCCAGTGTCCCCTACATTTTGACCGGTTTTAGATATTTGTAATAGTTTTTGTCTGCTGTAAGAAGCTCCTTTGATGAGAAACAAGAGCTATACTTATTGGTAGGTGTAAGACTAAGTATTGATAATGCGATGAAAATTATCCTGGTTTAAGAATGTGCCAGTAGCGGTATCTCAGAAAATTGAACATAGTGTTACCTGAGGACCCAGCTATACCACTCCTGGGCATATACCCAAAAGATGTTTCAACATACAAGAGGGACACATGCTCCACTATGTCCATAGCAGCCTTATTTATAATAGCCAGAAGTTAGAAAGAACCCAGATGCCCTTCAACAGAAGAATGGATGCAGAAAATATGGTACATTTATACAATGGAGTACTACTCGACTATTAAAAACAATGAGTTCATGAAATTCTTAGGCAAATGGATGGAGCTGGAAAATATCATCTTAAGTGAGGTGACCCAATCTCAAAAGAACATACATGGTATGCACTCACTGATAAGTGGATATTAGCCCAAAAGCTCACAATATCTTAGACACAACATATAGACCACATAAAACTCAAGAAGAAGAAGGAAGACCAAAGTGTGGGTGCTTTGGTCCTTTCTAGGAGTATCAAAAGTTTCAACCAGAGCTCCCAAAGTCTAAACCGCCAACCAGAGAGTACAAAGGGAGGGACTCATGTCTAACCTGTATAGGTAATTGAGGGTGACCTTGTCAGACATCAGTGGAAGTGGAGGGCCATGGTCCCCGAAAGTTTGGATCCCCTAGTGTTTGGGAATTCGAGAGCAGGGGGATGGGACTGGGAGGATGTTTGGAGCACACCCTCATAAAAATAGGAGGAGGGGGTATGGGATAAGGGGTTTTGGGGGAGAATGGGAGAGGAGATAACACTGAAAGGTAAATATGTATAATATCCAATAAAAAAACACAGATAAAGTGTCTAAAAAAAAGAGAGAGAGTTTACTTATTTTAAATTATTTCCAAAAGTTTCTAGGAGATGCTAATTGGCTAAGATATTATTTTAAGCTCTCCACAAAAGAATTTAAGTCTCTGTTTAATATTCTCAAGAGAGATGTAAATTCTAATTTTCCTCAACAATTAATTGACAAAAGAGTGGTAATCTCACAAAAAGTAGAAGAAGCTATTGCTAATCGATATATTACATAGTCTGATTAGTTGTCAGCGGTGCTATAACAGTCCTTTGATAAAAGATTATTAATATAGATTTATATTTCTTTAAATAGGGTCTTCATGACTCTCTGAGTGCGGAAGGAGTGACTGTTGGCGCTTCTGCCCTGATTTTACAAGAACTCTGAAAAAATGGCTTTAAAAACAAAAGAGGGGGAACAGTACTCCCAAGAAGGAGTCCCCCTGAAATACTCTCCATCATACCTTGTTCACTTTTAACTCTCTAAAGCTGAAAGCTCATGGCAAATCTGCTGCTGACTCCCTCTGGCACCACCAAGACCAACAAAAACTTTGCCATAGATATGGGGAAGGACCCTCTTACCCTTAAAGGGAATGGCCCAGACCCAGTTCCCTTACGGGGCCAAAGATTGATATGCCTGTTTCATACCACAAAAGGCACAGCTAACCGGCTACCAAAAAGATTAATGAAATAAATAGATACCCCCAAAAAGCCAGGCCCAACCATAAATAAGATGAATAACAATTTACATCCAGGGAAGAGAAATCTCCCTGAGAATTCCCTTCTTTTTCCTTTCCAAGTACAAATGAATAGCCCATGATGTCTGCTGTTAGAAGTTCTAATCCAGAAGCTGACATCCAAAATTATACTACTCAGACCTTTGAAGGGCCACTGACAAGAACATCAAACAGCTAGAGATTGACATCACTAATCTGAAGAAATCCCTCGTTTTGCTGTCTGAAGAGACCTCCTAAAATCGCAAAGATCGTTATTGGACTTGATTTACTCTATTACAATAGAAAAGGCTGTGTACAGCTCTTGATTGTGTACAGCCCTTAAAGAAGAATGTTGCCTTTACATAGACAAGACAGGGAGGGTTAAAGAGAGCATAAAATAGGTCAGTGAAGGCCCTGAGAAAAATCAGAGAGAGAAAGAGACAGATGAATGCTGGTACAATAATTGGTTTGCAGCCTCTCCAAGGTTGTCAACCCTACTTCTTCCCATCTTGGGACCATTATTTGGGTTCTTTTTCCTTATTTCTGCTGGTCCCTGGGCCTCAAATAGGCTGACTAACTCTGTGATACAACAGATAAATAATTTGGTAGCAAAATCTATTCAGATACATTATCATAATTTAGCTATCGAGGACCACGAGACTCAAGATGAGGTTGTTACTTTATACAGTGTGTTTCCAAAACCCATCTCCACCCAACCTAAAAGAGGCAGGGGGCTTCCGCCCCTAAACCAAGCAGAGAGGGGCCACCCAGAACCCCCTCTGACAGTCGATCTGAATTCTTGCTT